CGCCTAGTAGCTGGGGGCTTGACAACAGATGAGAGAATTAGTGGCGAGACATCTGTGGGTGCCTGGGTATACATTCACTGCAGGCATTCAACATTTGAATACAGTTTATTTCCCAGCTCATAAACACAGCTCCTGCGGTGGAGCTGGAGCGTTAAAGTAAGCCTAAAGATGGTTCACTTGGTGTATATGCTTCATATATTTTTCCTATGTATTAATAACATGAACAGAAAGCTCTAGGCTTTAGTAAGATTGGTGGCTCCACCATTTAAAAGGTTCTGAAGTTATGACGTTCTATGAATGTGTACTTATCAAAGACATGAGACCCTATGCTGACGCATGTCTAAGCAAAATAAACACTACAATATCCTCATTAAAAAAATGACCATAAAGTCGTGCTTCTTTGAACTATGTTCTGGAGCTGGGAAAAACTAGCAACACAAAGCACAGAAAACAAGACATTGAAGAACTTATTGACTAGCTTGATTTCTATGCAATAATGTAAGGTTTGGCAATCATACCTGCTATAATGACTTCATGCACCGCTGCTATGATAATGACAACATTAAGAATAACCAAGGCCTCATAGTTTCCATGACTGAGCAGTGGTTATGAGTCTAGCTGTCTCTCACATCGGCCGCCCGCTGGCAAGCCGGCACCTGTGACAGCTGTCGACTACTTGCTGCCATTATGAATCATCTCTTTTTTTTTTTCTGCTTTTTTTGTTAATTTTTCCTTTTGCTGTCTGAACATGTGTTTGCATGTGATAACAGATGGCCCGAATATCACTTTCCCCATTTACATTCAATTCGCAGTGCTCAGCACTTCCGGCATTTCCGCAAAATGTCTGTGCTTTTAAAAGTAACACCTCGGGAGCTGTGCAGCACGCAGCAGCTGACGCTCAATATTTACTGAAATTCATTTATGCAGCAGAGCAATGATCATGCCTGCCCATAAAAGTGGTGTTGCATATCTGCAACTTTCACTGATTACACAAGGATAACAGAAAAAAAGAAGTGCGCTATACAATGCAGAACTGATTTTACAAACAGATACACCAGGCAAAAGAATGTGGACTACATTATAAAGTTATTCCAAATGATGATTTCAGTAAGCAGCCTGATAGAATGCTTGGCATTGTGTGATATTTAGAAACTTGACAGGACACGATGCATGATAGGTGTACAGGACGTCAATTCTGAATGACACTGAAGTGGCTCTGTTAGTGTCCTATACTATATAGTACTCTGCAACCCCCCCCCCCCCCCCTCTTTTTTTTATAAGAGTGCTCTAGCATCTGTCTACTTACCAAAATGTATGGCCTCTCTTTGAGGACAGAGGCCTTATGTAAATGTAAAGTAGTATGAAGCTTCTTTCTTCTAGCTACTGCGGCACGGCACTGTCTGCTATTCATAACAAAAATATTTTACAATAACCTTGAGACCCAAATTGTTCACACTACTTGACCCAGCGGACCTCTGTTGCACCAATCTATGAATGCGGATCTTAATAAATGTGTCATTTATTAACAATTTAGAAAATGTCATACATTTTTGCGTCCTTGTAGTGAATGCTTGGTTCAAAGAGTACAGCACCCAACTGGCTACGAATGACTGAATTGGTTGAAAAACTTTAATCATTGCTTGAAATAAGTGAGAACAGCTTGTTTTACATTTAACAGCAATGATTTATAAACACAGTCTCCAAGCGGTGCAGTTTCGTCCTACTGCTCGCCGAGCCATCACCAGCTGTTGTGACCAATGTACAACTTCAAAGAATAAGGACGATTACAGAAAAGAGATTTCTTTCGTTATTCTGACACTAGCATTGTAAAAAAAATGCTCTATGATATTGTCTTATTTTACAGGCATCATTCACATAAACTTTCTCAATGAACAGTAAAGCAACCATAAACAGTGAAAGTATTTCTTTGCAGATTTTCACTTCTTTGTTATGATTTCCAATTCTGCAGGAAGCTGGTGAGAGTATTGTGCGTGATAAAAGCACACGTGTAGTATGTAGCCTAGATAGAGGCATTACATCGGGGTTTGTATCGGAAGTAAAAAGGCCACGCTTATCACACAAGCAACAAGTGATAGGACTGGAAAAGTCAACGCACGCACTGTTTGGAGATACTTCAGCCAGATTGCTGTCTATCAGAAGTTGCAAGAGGAGAGCCATATTTGTACACTATCTTGTATGCACACAGGGGCACAGCCAGGAAGTAGTACAGTACACCCCCCCACCCGCTGTATTTCTTAATGTTCTGCCCACCATAGGGCAGAGTACACCCCCCCACCCGCTGTATTTCTTAATGTTCTGCCCACCATAGGACAGAAAGCATAGGGCAATGCATCACAACCTACCAAGCCCCGCACTGAAAAGTCATCAGAGCACAAATGTTATAATTCAAGTGCATTCACATGCAATCCATGGCTAATTAATGATAATGCATTCTCTTGAATAATGTATCAAAGATTGTAAAACATACTGGTTGCTTAAAATTAAAGCTCCCATTTTAAAGGTAATGTGACATGGAAAATTCAGGTGAACACTGCTATTAAGCAAATGTGAAGCTAAAAAAAAGAAACATGCATATCCATGAAGATGAACGGTGATGATAGAATGAAGCAGTGTGCCTCCAATCATGAATCGTGGCCTTCTATTTTGTTCTGGTTAACAGCCTTTTATTTTGTTCTTGTCAACCTTTTGTTTTGTCATTTGCTTTGATAGATGGGTGGTTATATGTCGACGTTGTTACGATGTTGTGGCCTTTTATGTCGTTAGTTCTGGTTAAAAGCATTTCGATCACCTGTTTGTTGTTCATAGATGTTTTGGTTTGTTTACATGCACCTGCACTACATCTGATTTAGACTGTTTACGGACACTGCATGGTCTCAAAAGGCTTCGCCCCTGAAGGGAAGATCTATATGCATACGACCGCACATTTTATTCTAAATACTGGGCAGATTGCACGCGATGCGTAAGCCTGACTGAGTCAGTCCTTGAAGATTGCTCAAAACGTTATGTTTTGAAAGTACGCCCCATCAATTGAATCAGTTGACAACTGTGTCTGAAATGTTATATTTAAGCGATATATACATAAGTTGATCATGCATGTAGTGTAAAAGAAACACAGGTGCAGAAGGAGTGCACAAAACAGGTAGCTACGACCAAATGACATATTATGAACAAAAAGTGCCGCCATATCCACGAAGTGAATGATGATGAGTGGGCGAAGCTCTGGAGGAAAAACCTGGTAAACCATGAATCTTCCGTACATTTTGCCTACTCGATTTTATTACAATGCTTCCCCTAGCGTACGTCGCCGCACTAAATCGAACGATTGCCTTCCACCAATGACACGTGCCATATGTGACATCTTTCCTATTTTATAACATCTCGCATCTTTCATTATCAACCACAAGTACCGCCGTCTAGTTTATAACATCTTGCATCTTTCCATCATCAGCTACAAGTCCCGCCATCTAGTGAGCACTGAAAGAACTAAACGAGAGGTGGCTACATGCAGGAGACGGTGCCGCCATCTAGTGAACACTGCAAGAACTAAACGAGAGGAGGCGACATACAGGAGACGGTACCGCCATCTAGTGGACACTGCAAGAACTAAACGAGAGGTGGCTACATACAGGGGACGCACAGCCCACGCCTTAAGGAGCTTCGCCCCTAAAAAGCAATTGAGAGCAATCTGAATTCAAGCATTAAGTGAAGCTTTTGCATCATTGCACTTTTTTTAATCAGCAACATTCACCAGCAAACTTTTTGCTAGTGTGAAATAAACTCACAGGAAAATGTTTCACACTGTGTGTCAATGCCGGTGGGACATTTGGATATTCAACATTGACCTAAATGAAACGTCTTTGTCCACACTTCTTTCTTGTGGGTCATGTCCCTTTGCAATGTGAGCTAAACATATCTGCCAATTCTCTGCAAAATTACGTTTTATGCGAAAACTGCTAATAAAAATATGCATTGTCCAGTATTTTGTGCGACAAATGATTCAGCACACTTGTGGAGTGCTTGTGGAGACGAGGGGCCACTAATTACCGTCGTTTCAGTTTACCATGAGTTTTTCAGACTTTGTTTTACATTGCCACTGAAATTCACCATCAAGGCATCTGAATACACACTCCTGTGTGCTCGAGGCTGATCGACGTTTAATAGCGCTGAATATTCGAGAAAACCTCACGCGCTTGGAAGACGAGAGCGTTATAGTATTTCGCAACCTAGGTATGGATGCGTGATTCTTTCCAGCTGCGTTCAAAGGTAAAAAAAGAAAAAACTATTTCGCGTAGTTCCCTTTTTTTTTTTTTTTTGCAAATGCAGCCAGTCTTCTCGCTCGCTGAGCGTGTCCATTCATTCGCTCGCTTAGGCAGTTGCGTCACGTCCCTTCTTTCGCGGGCGGAGAGCGATTGCACCGACAACCGAAACGTCACTAACGGTGTCCGCGTTTTTAACGCGCGCGGCACGGAATACCGATCGTCTCTTCAAGAACCCGCGCTCTTAGAAATCCGACACCCCCTTTCAGCACTCCGCCCAAAATCGGTCGGTATCGATAAAAGAAAGCGAATACAAAGCGTGCCGCGGCGTCAGGAAAAGACTTATCTTTCGTTGGGCGAGGTACGTTCAGTCTGCACAAAGCGGCTATTTCGAGAAGTGAGCTCCGTTATACGTGGTAAAATAGGAACAACCACCAACACAGCGCGAGATGGGAGAGAGGTTTTCGACCCCGGGACGAGCGCCGCGCACTACCGACGTCTCAATCAGCGCCTTTTAAGCTCCTCAAGCTCGGCAGCCCCCGCAAAGGCGACAACAAATCAACGGGCTGCGCCGAAAAACTGAGCCAGACGAGATCGCGGTCGAATCCGCGGGCGCGACCGACGGACAGGTTTCGAGTAAAACTAAGAACACAACGCTCCCGTTCGCATTTTTTTGTTTACACACATACACGCCACGCGAGTCCATTCACACACCACACTCACCCGTTCAGATAACGCTGCATGAATGTGGCCGTCGCCGAGGTAGGCGACGGCAACTCCGCTTTGGGATCGGCGCCCGCCCGCTCCGTGCCCGTCGACAACTGCCGCAGGAAATCGGCCAGTTTGTCCCGTAGGGTCGGCATGTTTGCCTGCTCCGCTGGCGTGCTCGCAGTCGTCGCTCTATGGCTGGCTCGACGATGATCCAGGCACACCACTGACGCGACGTCGAGCGCTAGCTGCGCTTCAGCCGATGGCGCTACGCATCTCGTTCGTCAGGCGAAGCTCGGGGTACCACGCTCGCCGTAAGCGACTCACGACGTCGGAGAGACGGTGGACGGCTGGGCGACCAGCGAGCACTCGCGACGGCTGCAGCGGTAGCACACAAACCACCACGGCGCTAGCCGCGAACGCACGCACGCAAGCTGGCGATGAAAAGAAAAAAAGCATACAAAACAACGCGCACTTGAGGAGAAAGACGAGGCACTCTCCTCCTCGTCATCACGGCCACTTGCCGACGGGCATTGGCTACGCTTTCCACCAGAAACCCCCTCGTTTCAAGACTCCGCAACCACCTACCGCCTCCGTTTCGCACATACAAAACACTCCTCGATACACAAGTAGTGCGCTGTTTAGGCGCGGCTACTCAAATGATGATCACATAAACCCATAGTCCCAGCACGGACTTATTTTGTGGTTCATCAGTTTGCCACCTACATTACAAATTTTGTGTTATAGCGCTACAAGACAACCAAAGTATTAAACACTTGTATAGTTGACTAGTAGCGCCACTTTAGAACACGTGGACTTTAGCGTTGCGGCAGTGTTTGTAACTATTTGTCTGCAGAACCATTAGTAGGTCATACCGTTATCCGTTTCTAAAATATTTGGTTCAATCAATCGATCGGTGCGCTTCGACACATTTGCGTGCCTCTGGATCTTGGGCGTCCTTTGGCGGAAGTCTTTATCTAGTGAGTCAATCTTCATTCCTAAAGTTTTGGCACTCATTACCTTCAATGTCGAGCTACAAGTTCCGCCGATTCTTGCGAAATCTTTTGCCCGAAGATGTCGAGCGCGGAAACAAAAGGTGCGGTCGATTCACCTGCACCACGTGAAAAAGTTTGCGGCGTGCTGCACTTTGCCATTCGTTTCAGCAGTGCAGCATTGACGACCTTTGAACCCTGTTATTCGTTTCAAAAGGTGCAGAAAAGGTGCAGCACTGGTTCAAGATTTTCCTGCACCTCCTACACTGATGGTGCCGGGCTTGGTGCAGCCGCATGTGCAACTGAGCAGACGACGCAGCACTTTGGCGTAGGTGGCTTAGGCGTCATACACGCCCCTACAAACGCGGTGTGTTTTGCCAATATGTTTGCGCCTCATAAACTCTCCACATGTGTGGTTCGCCATCGTTAAGTGTTAGCTGTACGGTGTAAATTAAGCGAAGAGAAATAAGGCCTGCACACTGTTGGCGCATCGTCATTCGTTTTCGTGCTCTGCGCAATAAACTCAGTTGGAAGTTAGCGCTTGTGTCTTTCGTGTCCTTCTTGTCTCTGTGTCGTCGTTTTGTTCTCGCGCTATAACTATCGTCGTTTCGGGGGTCGCGCTGTGCCTGCGCCGGTGAACTCGCGCTGCACAATTTATGAACTTCGCGAGCACAGCCGTGAACTGGTTCCAATTGGTGCAGGTGAATCGAACGCACCTAAACATGTCTGCGCCCAGGTGTGAGGTCACGTGTGTGCAGTGCCCAAAGCGTGCGCGTTTCAAAGTGCCACTATAATGACACAGATTAGTCGCGCGTGAAGCGTCCGCTTCGCGTACACGTGCCACAACGTTGTCCTACATTGGTCACCAGTAACGTGTAAACGCCGCTACATGACGGACGTGACCTCTCGAAATTTCGAGCGTCTTGCGCCCGAAATCGAGGCCGCTATCGAGAATGCCGCGTTCGTGGCCATCGACACGGAGTTCACGGGCCTCGTTTACGATCCGGACGCGACGCCAAGCCTTTTCGACAGCATCGAAGATCGCTATGCTAAGCTGCGTCAGAGCGTCGCTTCTTTCTACGTGTGTCAGCTTGGACTCTGCACGTTCACGTACGTGCCGGAGGAGAATCTCTACAAGGCGCAAGCGTACAACGTCTACCTGTGTCCACGCTCGTTCGGCAAAGTAGATCCTCAGTTTTGCGTGCAAGCCTCCTCGATCGAGTTTCTCTGCCAGAGTGGCTTCGACTTCAACAAGTGTTTCTACGAGGGCGTCCCTTACGCCGACTGGGCATGTCAGAGGGCCGCCGAGTTGTACGTTATGAACGAGCGTTACTTCGAGATGCCTGGGTTGTCCAAAGTCTACGACAGTGTTCGCCACTGGTTGAACAATAACGACCGTTCCAAGTCTCCTGACGGCGAGAATTCGTTGACACTGACGCTGCCCGAAGATCTGAGCGCCGTGGTCGTGATGGCCGATCTGAAGACGCGTTTCCCCGGCGTCCTAGTCGAACTTTCTCGCGGCGGGCTCAAGCTGACTCTGCCGGAGAATATTGAACCACAGCGCATTGCTGCACAAGGCCGACCGCCCACGGAATCTGAGTTGCGTAGCGCCATGGTGGGTTTCAGACGCTGCTTCGAGGTGCTGGCCGCGAGCGGCAAGCCCGTGGTGGGTCACAACATGCTCCTAGATCTGCTCCTGCTGTACCACCAGTTCTGCGAGCCGCTGCCCAAGTCGTACGCCAAACTTAAGGCCGGGACTGAGCTCCGTGTTCCCGGCTGTTTACGACACCAAGCACATGTCTCTCCAGCTTCGGCAACAGGTACGGGAAGCGATCGACAGCGAAGTGCCCGTGCGTCGGCAAGGGTGACGGACTAACCCCCCTATTCAGAAACGCACCTTGACTTGAAAAGCGCTTTCAGTGTTCAATACAGCACGTGTAAAGCGCAACTGTGTGTTTGTGCTGCATTGAAATCGGTGGCAAGTCAAGCAGCGTTTCTGAATACGGGGGAGCATCATGGCTCGTCGAGAGTAGCGCATAATGAATCGTTAGTCGTGTGTAGATTTGTGACGAGTTAAACCTGTTGCCAGTTGGTTATGAACGCGGTCAACTTTCCTTGCGCAAACTAACTACGCAATGACAAAGCGAAGGGCACACATACAGAACAAATATGTGGTTTGTATGCGTCCAGTTCTTTTTTTTTGTAGTTTGCACAAGGAAAACTGACTGCGTCGAGTGTTTTGCGGTTGCTTGTCTCCCTCTCTCTTTACGTATAAGGTTGTCCACAAGTCTTCTCATCAGGAATCATTGGCTGTCACCAAGCTTAGTCCACAAGACCAGAACAAAAAGAACACATTTTAAAAAATTTCCTAAGCCACCTTTTATGGAAGTGCAGTGCATGAGGGGCGGACAAGACTACTACAGATGTTAAGAAAGTAGAAAAGAAAGGTAAAGTGCTATCTCTGGTCTAGGATGCAGTGAGGAACTCATACAACCAGGTGTAAACCGCCGTGTCCTCAATGTGGCGCAGGATTGCATTGAAAGCCTGGCTGTGCTGAAGAGCTGGGAAATGTACAATTGCACTTAAATATGAGTTGCAACGCTCTGCCTGTGCCCCCGAGCATGAGCAATGACACCAAAAAAACATTAAATTGGTTCGGAAAGCACTGCTGAGAGTTTAATTCGCCAGTTTTGTTTTCTACGTAGGTACCGACTCTGAGTGTGGGTGTGATATTAACGTTTCTCTATTCTTTAAGTCCTGTTGTGTCTGTAAAGGTGTCTTACGCGTGTTTGTCCACCTGCGTGCTGCGTTATTCTTTCTGGAGCAAATCCTGAACCCACGTTAACATCACAGTGGGCTCCATTTTGAGCCCTAACAGCATATCGAAACTTGCGTTGAGTGTGACTGTAGATCCCCACGGGCTCTAGTTCAACAGAAATGACAGCAGAGCCTAATTTAATGTGCAGTCATATGACCTGATCTCCCCAACACCAGAGGAGGACATGAAAATAGGCTCTTAGGCAAGTTTCTGTTAGTATTTTAGCATTTTACATTCTTCCAAAACTCTCTGCGAGATGATGTGAGCAGCACCCCCGACAAATCGGCAGATTTCCTGTGGGGCTACCCCCCACAGGAAATCTGCCGATTTCCGCAGAAACTTAATGGTTGTGCGTGAGGGTTACCGTCAAAAGGTTTTTTTTTTTTTTTTTTGAGTTATGGCCTGTTTGTCGGCGCATGCACAGTTATTTATAGCTGGATCAAGAAACTGCCATAAGTGGTCATTTTGTTCATGTTCACGTTGAAGAGACCGGGCAGAAAACATGGACACGAGAAAAGAAGTGAGGCCACGACAAACACCGTGGTGTCTTGACTTTTGTTGTATGTTTGCATGTCCGGTCACCGTAACGCGAATACCTGCCAACTAGCTCAGCTGTCTCTCATTCTTACCCCCTGTATTCAGAAACACTGCTTGACTTGAACTTGACTTACCACCAACTTCAAAGCAGCACAAACGCGTTTCGCACGTGCTGTCTTTAGGCTATGCCAAGGCAGCACAAATGCACAGATGCATTTCAAACGCGCTGTATTGAAAGCGGTTTCAAGTCAGGTTCAAGTCTAGGAGTGTTTCTGAATACAAGGGTAAGCAGCCTGTTGCAGTTTGGAGATGGAATTCATTTATTGCGTGCTTTTCCCTGTGAAAGAACGATTCAGGGTGATCACTTGAGCGCAAGCGAAAGACTTGCTTTTCAGACCGTCAAAAAATCACGCGTGCTGCCTCAGCCGTTTCGCTTTATGCCCCATGTCCCAAGTGTTAATGACGATGCCGAGAAATTTCAGCCGGTCCTACACCACAGGTCAGACGGCATTTTTAGACGGCTTGCGGTATGGAAAAAACCAAAGTTGGAGAAAGCACCATACCACACATGAGCTACGAGGCAGTGTGACTACAGTAGTAAAATAGAGATATATCCTGCATAGATCAAGATGGCTGGTCACCATAGATCTTACACATCAAAAAAAAAAAAAACGGAAAAGCCGCCCGTAGGGGGAACTTGAGTGAATGCTTCGCAGTTTGGTGGGGGTATCATGTGAGTGTTGCGTAATCGGGTATGGTTTAGGAATGCTTGATTGTTATTTCGTCTTTATTATTCCTAGTTTATTGAATGAAGGAGAACCGTTGCCTTGAACGAGTGGTGGGACACCGATGTGCGATCCGGCACCTACATATCTGGGGTGGCCAGTGAACGGTTGTGCAGCTTGAGCAGTCGGTTTTTGCTTGCAGACGCTGCCTGCGTCGGCCTTGCACGGCGAGAGAGGGGGTGGGGAGCAACAGTTGGACAAGCATGCCCAGTGCGGTTGCCGACACCGCCTCCGAGGCCGGATTTGCGAAGAGACTATAAAGTGCTCCGCATTTAATATCTGTTCTCTGAAATAATGCACTGAAGGTCTAACTGTCAACCTTGTGTAAGCATCAAAGCGCCCTGTCTTGTATTCTTGCGCTGTTTTCGAATTTCGGTAAGTACTGACAAGCCTGTATTAACATGGTAGGAAATTATGGTCGTGCACTGCATTAACATGCTTATATTAAGCAAAGTGAGCCAGTTAATGCGGTCAAGTTTGATTTTAGACTACTTGAATATAGCCAATGTGAGCTCCAGTTACTGCAGTGTATTCCTTGCCATTGAACATGGATAACACGAGAACAATATGTGCACTCACCACACAGTCAATATTTTCTGTCAGGAACTGTGTCACAGTGCAGCTGACCCTCGCGATGGCATGCATTTATGCTGTGCAGGGCATTTCGGGGCTGAAGGAGTTGGTGTCCGGTGCAGACCTGTTCTCTCTGTTCAAAGCTCTGAGCGAAGTAAAAGTACCTTACGCACCACGCGTCGTGGGAGCACCAGAGAACCTACGAGCTCACGAGGCTGGTTGTGATGCCTACGCAGCGGGCTTCGTCTTTTTGAAACTGGCACACATTGTTGCTCAAAAGGTGTGTCTTCACATTTCTTTCCCTTTGCCTTGAGAATACTGCACACAGTTGCGCCAGCTGGATTTACAGATTGTCACCAACCTCGGGCTAATCATTGTACTACTAATATGAATTCATATGTGTAATGTCAAGAGTTTACTTAAAGCTAGTGCTTACTAGATTAGTTCCTGCCTTCCTGTACAGTACATTAAGTAGTGGTCCCAGGATTTTTCATGTTGAAGGCACCCTCTGTTTTTTCTCTCTTCCCGTTGGAGCACGGAGTGTTTTCTAGCCCCATAGAAAATAAATAATAAGAAAACAAAAACAATGTTTATTTGCACAGCTGAAGAGTGATATAAACTGTAGAAAATGCCACTAAAATTTTACGTTGTGACTAAAGACCCGTTTGATAAACCACATGAAATCAGTGACCGATTCCCTCACGTCTTGGCCAGAAAAAATGGGCACGGTCAGCGGAGTCATCAATCAGGGCCATGGTCGCAAACTGCCTCGATGTCTGTGGCCCAGGGGCAGAGTTCTTCCCGTTGGGTGCCAAATGTAAGGGTTTCGAGGCTGCTCGGCCGAGAACCCGCAGGGAAGACGCGGAGCCAAACCAGGAACCTTGTTTTATTCCTCTAAGTCTCGGCCGCAACTGTCTGCTGACAGTGGCTGCCGCGTGCCCCAAGTGCACCCGCGATCGTCATTGTCCTCTTCCTTCTGATGTCAGCGCGCTCGCGACCGTCGCTCCCATACAGCTTACCAACCATCTGCTATTGTAAAATGATAAGCAAATGCCCCCCCTCCCCCCCCCTTTTTCAGGAGATCTGAAATAAGCGCCAGTGACTAGTCTGGGACCGAGCAAGCATCCCCCTCCTAAATGTAGTCAGATTATCCTTCACTGTAATTGGGTGGGGGGGTTCTTTCTCAGTATGTTATGGTCTTGGTGCCATTAAAAAGCGAGAAAAAAAAAAGAGGTTATGAATGTGAAAGAATACGAGAAGAGAATCTTACGGGCTTGTATCTTTGTTTTATGCAACTTTAATGAAAACTGATTGCTAATGAGGCCCAGAAGGTATAGAGAATGTTAATTGTGCTTTTTTATATAGTAATTATGATAAAATTGCTGAGAAAGTAAACAGGACAAAAAATACAACTTGCTCTCAGCAGGGACCGAACCTGTAACCTTCACATAATGTGCCCAATGCTTGGACAATTGAGCTACGGCTGCAATAGTCCGCACCATAGAGTTTGATTGATATGTGGAGTTTAACGTCCCAAAACCACCACATGACTACATATGAGAGACGCTGTAGTGGAGGGCTCCGGAAATTTTGACCACCTGGGGTTCTTTAACGTGCACCCAAATCTGAGCACATGGGCCTGCAACATTTTTGCCTCCATCGGAAATGCAGCCGCCGTAGCCGGGATTAGATTCCGCGACCTGCGGTCAGCAGCCTTAGCCACTAGACCACTGCGGCGGGGCACACCATAGAGTTTCATACAACAATACCTAGAAGGTAATCTGGCGCTAATGTCTACGCAGGCTTCGGATCTGCTTCGGATGGATCGAATTCTTGAGATTCGCCACGCTTGATTGTCCAGTGTAAAACAAAGGAGTATCAATTTATATTTAAATTCATCTTGTTTAAATATTTTGTATGTAAATTTTATTCCAATAAGTTTTTGTGGTTTTGCTGTAGAAGTGAAACCTGGACAAATATATCGACCAAGGTTTGCATTGCTCCGTCACTGAGTTTCAGATTTGGCATCAAGACATAATAAATTATTTTTTACAACATTTTAAAATAAATCTTCTTGTATTGCCCTCAAAAGTACGTATTATATATTTATAGAAATAACATTACATTATTAAGTGAGAAACACTTAACGTTTTGTCTGCTGCGATGCCAGGTGGGTCTGTCTGAGTGGTCTGCCACCTACGCACCTCACGTATTGTTGTGAAGTCGAGTCAAAGGAGCGTGGAGGTGCGTCCACTTTGCTTCGCAGTCGTTATGCAGTCAATTTAAACGAGTTTTGGCAAGACATACTTACAAAAAAACGTGAACTCCATGTAATATTCTGCACTGTCACGAGACGCTACAGATATGCGCAGTGGTGAGTGGGCGACGCTTTTCGCAACTCTTGTTACCACGCCTATTCAAATCAATTACCGGTGATCGACGCTTTTGGATCATCTATTTGGGCATGTTAAATTTGTTTCTCGTGCACCCAGGGCTTTCTAGTCATTAGTTCAGGCACTCAACTTCCAGAATCAAATTTAATTTGCTCGTTTTGGGAACATTGTGATTTTTTGCAGACCTTTGGGCGAACCACTGTGCAAGTATTGTTGGAAAAGTGCACTAAACTGGCGAACTTGACAGAAGTGCATGCCCCTCATGATTATGCTGCAGTATCATCAAAATTGTGCAATGAAAAAAGTCTTTGCGAGCCATATATTGAATTAAAATGTCTGCTTTGTAATTTGACTATTTTGAGTGACAGAAATTTATGCCAGGTATTCAATAGTGAGCTGGTCTTAGGAACCGGGGAAAATTTGTTATACAAAAATATTTACGAAAGTCCGCCGCTTGTTTAAAGTGTCGAGGTGGCCTTCTCGGACTGTTTCCAGCAGCTTTGGTTTTCTCCCATCGTTATATCAGACACAGGGTCGCATTTAGTGTCACTAGTCGCTCCTTGGATGTCGTCACGCACGCAGGGTGTGCACTAGCACTGCGAAACACATCCGCTGCTCGAAACTGTCTGGCAACCCCACCTGAATCGAGTGAGGATGAGCTTAGAGTTCAAGGATGACAGCACCTCGGTTTCAAGTTTTATGGTGAGGATGTTTTGCGTGAGCCTGAGACATCCGCAGCCGTTCATGGGTTTGTTTTGTTTACATCCTCAAGGTGTCCCCTCCCTCCTCCACAAGTGCTTAAGGTTCTGACGAGTGTGCACAATCTCATAGCTATGGGTTACGTGTGTGGTTCACACTTCGCCGGGGCGCGGTGTGCAGGCGCTGGCTGCAGAGATTCTCTTAACGACAAAAAGGCCCCTGGAACACATTTTGGCCTCGACTACAGAGCAGTGAGAAACGTTTTAGAACTGTGCGCGTATTGTCCCTTTTCTAATACGATATGGGCAAAAATGCAAACAAATATGCTTGGATGCATAAATTGGAACGCCAACCTATGCGGAGTGAGATGGCTTATGAAAAGAGGTGACGCTATATGAAATAGCGAACTTCATTGAACATATCATTTATAAGGGATTATTCACATTATGGGCATCTATCTATTTTTGGAACAGCTGGAGACCCTTATCACAAGAAAACAGGACTTTATTGACAACAGTGTACGAGTACACTTGTGTATCATGAAAAAAACGCCAGGCATGCGCGGTAGACGCAGCACAGTGACAGCGAAAGCTAGAAGAGCGGCCTTTCAGAGCCTTTTCAAAACACTCATTGAGTAACTACTGCAAGCACACTTTTTTGATACCCAATAGGGCATTAGTAATAAATATTTTTGGGTAGTAGGCCGGAATTTGCTGTGCTATTTTTCGTTATTCTTCTGAGAAGTGTGGTATCCGTTAAACACTTGCAAGGAAATTTGTGCCAATTGTTCATGCAGTGGCGGACGATGATAAGGAATTATGGCTGAAGTGGTATGTGCCACAGTTAATAGAGCAAGCTTTTGTAATGGGTTGGAGCATAGGACGGCTCACTAGTTACGGTATTCGCATTGTGCAACGACTGGTTATTCTTTTGCTGTTTTAAAACGCTTTATAAGTCATATTAACGTGATTGCTTTTCTGACATCAAGCCTACTTAGGGCAAGTTTGCCAACAAGTCACAAGCGTAGCTTGGTGGTAGAATACTGGGCTGGCACACAGGGGACCCAGGTTCGAGCCCTACTGTGTCATTGGTGCTAGGTTTTCTTTTTTTTTTTTTTTGCACGATGTGGTTACAGAGAGCGGCGAACAACTGCACGTGACCCGAGTTGTGATCTCATAACAGCTTTCGCTGCAAAACCATGCAATACTTCACTGCATGACACAAGCAACGAAGCACCACCTTGGTTCCGATTTTCTTTTTCTCATTTTGTACACATTCATTATTTTTTATACTGTTCCTGGGTCATTTATCTACAAAATGTATATTCTGAATTTTCTTTGTTTTTAATATTTTTGCCTATATAGAGTTTAATATTGCAATACCTACCATCTGGCAACAAAAAATTCCATACTTTTCTCATTTTTAATCATTCTAAAATATTTTTGTCGCTCTACAACACATATTTTTTGGAAAGAACATTTCATTGTGCAAAGCTTGGTATGCTACGATGCGTGCCGGAGTGCTTTTCAAATGAACAAAAACGACCTTCTGAAGACATATGAAAAGCAACCATTTTCGCGCGGTAGTGAAAGAGCGAAACTGTCAAATTCGACTCCTAAAGCTCTTAAGCCACAGCAAATCTCAGACCTAGTGGCCTTCAGCCTCTTTGAACAACAAAGGTGCCGCTTCAGCGCTTTGCCAGCTTTGCACCACACCCCAGTACCCACTGCTGTGGAAGAATGAAACTGAAACTATGGAAGGGAATCCGTATATAGTTCGCTAGTTAACGCAATCCTATCCAAAGCCTATACTTCCCGTAATTCCCATGGGGGTACACGTTCGCAGCGCCAGACATCGCTCTAGGTATTATCGTATGGTGCCAGAGAAATAGTTCTAGTAGTCTCTGGCGTTTCTCTTGAGCAAAACTCTAGTGTTCCTCCTTGCAGCCTCTGGAGGTTTCCTGCGCTCTGTCCTGGCGGAGTCTCCAGCACACCGTTCGACTCTACGCGAACCAGGTGAACCTGATTCGTGCCCAGTACCACCACCTCAGCCTGGGCCCCACCGACAAGGTTGCCGAGACAAGGCCCCCATGGCTCTGCATCCGCTTGCCTGAACAGGCACAGGCACAGGTGCGGGCTGTGTTGTCACGCTGCGGCACTGTCGACATACGCTGCCTCTCGCGCAACTGCCTCCTGGTCGCCGTGGGCAACTATGGATGTGCGAGGGACATTGTGGAAGCCTTTCAAGAAGACCCCTCGGTTAAAGTAGTGAAGTACAAGTCTTACCAGCACAACAGCGTTGTGCGGGCCTGGCTGTGGACGGCCGCTGTGGCCTCACTTGGGCTGATGGCAACATGCGCTCTGCAGTTCGCGGCCGTAAGAGTGCCTATCCTGTGACATATTTCTATCGAACTCGTAGAAACCTTGGTTATACGTGGCATCCTGGTTGCACACATTAGGCTGGCAATTTTAGTACCCAGCTGCGCTACCACCTTGTTGGCGTGCGCTCGTGTAGAATCCAAATGAAATATTGCAGTGGCGTTAACTTATTGTTGAATTAAATCGTGCGCCTGGCCAATGGAGATGTTTCCCGTGAATAAAGTGATTTTGTGTGTGTTACACTGATTTGTAACGACTCATCTCTAGGCAATCAGTTATACAGTAGCCTCATGATAATTCAAACTCTAATAATTCATACTTTCGGGCTATTCAAACAAATTCTATTTCTTGGTTGGCCCGCTATTCTTTCAATGTACAGTTAAACCTTTTTATGAGAGGCATGCTCAGGGTAGCGATTCTTGTCTTTTACATTAGATGTCTTTTATAAGCAGCATACCTCATATGCATTTTCTTATCAACCCATATTTCACTGTAGCCACACTGGTGTCTCATATACCCATGATTCTCTTAAAGCATTGTCTCTTATAAAGGGGTTCAACTGTATTTAAAAGCCTCTTAATTCAAACTCCATTATTTAGATAATTCGTACTTTCTGCAGGTTCATACCAAAAAGTATGACCTGCTTTCCCACTATTGTTTAAAAATTTTGTGCTTATATAATCCTAACAGTCTAAAAATGAAAAATAAGCACCCGAGGCCTTCAAGGGAAAAGGCTTAGCAAGTAAACAAATGTTCGAAATGAAGCACACGCATGGTAAACCGTGACACTTCTCAACTGGTAAAGAGAGCTTTGTGCCGAGGTCACATACCTATAGCAATGAAGAGGTTAGATATTCGAAACTTCTTGAAAAGGTCTGACCAGTAGTAAATGGCCAATAAACTCGTGAGCTTTACACCTTTGCTTTCTGTTCACAGCGTGCAGTTAGGACTTAAAAACATCTAAAATTTTTAAATGTTAGTATAAAAGCAATGCCTAATCATAATGTGTGGCGTCGCCTGATCAGGAGTCATCTATCTCAGAACTTCTGATAATTCAAACAAATTTCAGAGGTACCTTCAAGTTTGAATGAACGAGAGTCGACTGTATTAAAAAAAATTGAAAGGAGGCATGTGCAAATATCACTCTGTTTGATTCAAAGGTGGTGGAAGGAACATTAAATATACTCAAACCTTGTTACAACAAAGTTGCATCTTACGCGAAAATAAGATGGTTATATACAAAAATTCATTATAAAAGCAATTTTTAACATTGTATCTAGGGCAAGACTATTCATAATTTACTTTGTTGTTACCAATGTTTCGTTATATCAAGGTTAGTGTGTACTAGCAGGGTTTGACTTTTGGTAGAATGCAAGTGATAACCTTTAAAGTATGTCATGTTACAAAATTTGCTATACTACTTGTAGTACATGTAAGTCGGCATAGAAGGTCTTTATCCTTGTAAAATGGTAAAGCAATCCGAGGGTAAGTGAGGCTTTGCAGCAATGCAGGTATTCCAATTGTCCCCGAATAGGCGTATTCATGTAGAGTTGTGCTCGCCAGCAACTTGATTTACGAAACATACTTAGCCATTCTCAATGCATTTCTGTTTGTTTTTGTCACTACAGTGAAACGGCCTTTACAGGGGGTTACATGCAGCTTAATATACACATATTTGTTCATTTCGAATACTTTAATATTTCCAATAGTTTAAACTTCGAATTAAAGTGAATTCAAATACTAAAATACTAGTTTGATTATTTGAAGTGCAGTAGACTCCTATTAAACAGAACTTGAAGGGACCAGGAGGATATATTCCTGTTTAACAGGAATTCCATTTACTGATAGATAAACAATGTTGTGGAATACAAGTACGAAACCAATCCTGTCAGAAGCACTTGTTCCATTGAGCAGCAGTTTTGTTTAACAGATTTCCGTTTACTGAGAGTTTGCAGTACTCGAATACTTGCACAAGCCTAATTTTCAGTTATCAGTAACACTTCTGGGCAATATAACACAGCAACATTAAAAAGAAAAAAGAATTAAGGAAAACAAAACATTTCATTAAAGTAAATAAGGATAAATACATTTCTTCACTCGATGTAACTGTCAATAATAATCCTAAAGAATTTTGGAAATTTATTAAAGTGAACAGTAAAGATCTGAACGCGATACAAAATCTTTCAGTCAACGGAAGAGGAGTGTTTGATGATTACGAAAAAGGCTGCTCTTTTAACTCCTATTTTAAATCCGTGTTTTCCAACACCTGCTCTAAACAACTTCCCGTAATTCCAGATTTACCCTACGGGAGTATGCTCATGGTCGCTGTCACGTAACCTGAAAAACAATGCAGTAACCTGAAAAACAATTCAGCTGGAAGTCCTGATGGCATACCAACCAAGGTAATCAAAGCATGTCTTCAGGAAATTACTAATTTCTTAGTCGTCTTGTTCAAAAAATCTCTGCACAGTAGTTCTGTACCAACACAATGGAAAACAGTAGTTGTTGTTCCCATTCATAAAAGTGGTCCCAAACATTCTATTCAAAACTATAGACCAATTTCGCTAACTTCTGTATATTGTAAAACTTTAGAACATATCATTTACAGTGCTGCGATGATACACCTCAAAAACAATAGTTTCTTTTCACCTGCTCAACATGGGTTCAGGTCTGGCTTGTTCTGCACAACGTAGTTCGTTGAATTTTGCCATGATCTTTTTTTACTTCTACGATTCAGGATTTCAAGTTGATTGCACTTTTTTAGATTTTAGAAAGGCCTTCGATACTGTTCCTCATAATTTGTTATTCCATAAATTATCATCTCTCTGTATTCATCCGGCAATAGTTATTTGGATTAAAAATTACCTTTCAGGAAGAACACAGCATGTTGTAATTAATGTCTTGATGTCAACTGGAATACCATTTACTTCAGGCGTGCCGCAAGGATCTGTTTTGGGGCCTTTGTTATTTTTTATTTATAGCAATGATATTGTGCAGGGTCTTCAATGTAATGTCAGATTATATGCAGATGACTGCGTCATTTACAGGAACATAATAAACGAACACGATGTCATTAGCCTACAAACCTATATAAACACAATTCAACTTGGTGTTTCACGTGGTGTATGTCTTTGAATAGTACTAAATGTCAATTTATATCTTTTACCAGCAAACTGTTTGCCTATGAGATCAGATTATCATTTGGACGTCATATCACTTGAACGGGTACAGCATTACAAATACTTTCGCATTTATTTTTCAGGAAATTTGTCATGTACTAGGCATACTGAACTTGTTACATTAAAATATTCCCGAATGCCTAATCTCATTAGACGCAATTTTCACAAAGCCCCCAGGAGCGTTTCCTTTATAATACGAACGTTCGCCCATTACGCGAAGTACGCTTGTACAACTATAAAAGTAGCATTTCATTAATTAAAGACAACCTTGGCTGGAAAACCTTAGCCCAACGCCACTTAGCAACGAAATTGGAACTTTTTCCGTATTTACTCTGATGTCACAGGTATCGACAATATCTTGTACATTTTTCCCCCTCACTTCATCTCTACGTGTTGTGATCATGACTGTAAAGTACTTGAAACATGATGCTGCACAAATGTGTTTCATTATTCATTTTTTCCTGACACCTCCACGCTTTGGAACAGACTTCCTAAAGGTATGGCAGATTGTAAAACACTCTGCCAGTTCCAGTCGTTTTTACATTCAGATTTCATGTGAGCTATAAGCTAGCTGTCCCCTGGCTTTGATATGTGGTGTTTAACGTCTCAAAACCACCATATATTTATGAGAGACGCTGTAGTGGAGGGCTCCGAAAATTTCGACCACGTGGGGTTCTTTAACGTGCACCCAAATCTGAGCACACGGACCTATAGCATTTCCGCCTCCATCGGAAATGCAGCCATCGCAGCCGGGATTCAATCCCGCGACCTGCGGGTCAGCAGCCGAGCACCTTAGCCATTAGACCACCGCGTCGGGGCCTGTCCCCTGGCTTTTGCTTGTGCTGTCTTTTATTTTTTTCTTTTCTTCTTTTAATGAGATTGTACCTGAATTATATGTCATCACATTTTATTGTTGCATACACCACTTTGTTAATGGCTGATTTTTTTATATATCTTTGTCTTTGTGTAGACATACCGTATATTCCTTTAAGTGATTACTTTCTCTCATGTTACCCCCCTGCAATAATGCCCTCGTGGTGCTGCAGGCCCATGTATTAAAAAAAAAATTGGCACCATACGTGGCATGCAATTTGTGTGCTGCTGACTGATAAAATTTGGCTATCCCGTCTCGGCGGACAAGTGGCTAGGGTGCTCGGCTGCTGACCCAAAGGTCATGGGTTCGATCCAGGTCGCATTTGAATGTAGGCCAAATGTTAAAGACCCGTGCACTGTGCGATGTCAATGAACGTTGAAACACCAGATGGTCAAAATTTCCGGAGACCTCTAGTACGGCATCTCATAATCATATTGCGGTATTAGGACTTGAAGCCTCACATATTACTAACTGCAAAACATCTCCTTGCCTACTGCAGGCATTTTGAGTGTCTATCTACATATCTATTTGATGCCAAACACCTTACGGTCGAGCTCAATCTGGTGCGTGTGCAGTGTGACCACTCTTACTGTCCATATGCTTCCCCTCCCCCCTCTCTTTTCCCACACTCTCGCCTTGCAGTGCCAACGCAAGCATCTGCTAGCCTACGCTCGCTGCTCCCTCTCTCCTTTAAGTATCCCTCTCCGTGATGTTCCTTTCCTCTTATACGCTCACTCCTCTCTTACATCACAACGTCGACAAACACCTTTGCTAGCGAGTATCTTGATTAAAAAGTCGGCTACTCGAACTCCACAACTATTCACTGGCCACTCCATATATATCGGCACTGGATCTTGACCTCCAAGGTAGTGCCGGTGGGAGATTTCTCCTCTGCGTCGTTGAGCCATAAAAATTTGCAGCGTGCACGTTAACTAAAAGCCAACTGTAAGTCTCCGTTCAACCGGAGTCTCCCGTTTCTTATTGCCCATCAGCAGCGATTGGCATGTTCCAGTAGGAAACACTGATCTATCGCTGCGCGCTTTGTGCCTCCCCAGGTTTATTTCCAGCGCAATGCCGCGATGAGCACCAGCGTCAATGCCGCCGCCAGTGCAAGCGTTTGCGCTCGCTGCTTCGCATCTATACATAGTTCCCTATAACGGGAGATTGTGTAATTTTCCATCTATTTATCTAGCCGCCTAGGTCTGGGTGCTCATGTGATCACCCCCAGTGACCTCCAGTGGACTTGAAATAAGGAGACCACCCAAGTGCATTTGAAGTGCAACTCTCAGTGCTTTTCTGAATTAATGTTTTTCCACCACCACCCTTAACGTGGGGTAATCCAAAAGTAGTATGGGAGGGTAAGATGGTCTGACAAATATGACTCGCTGGCCATAACATGAATGACAAAATCCAGTCACGTGCGGCGTAAAACCTTTTCCGCCAGACACGTGGCACATAGCCGCGAGCGGGTATGTGCCACAGGTGATTGACAGTCTACACAGGAACCGTAAGATCATGCACGACTAATTTTAACACGTCAGTGTTTAGAAAAAGCTGACATTGGCCTTGTTGACCCAACATCGAGAGTTCATCTGTTTGTCAAGTAGCAGCGGGACTATTCCAAAAACTTTCTACACTCAAACCTCATTATAACAAAGTTGCATCTTACACAAAAATAAGTTTATAATATCCAAAAATTTCTTGTCAAAGTACATTTCTAACTATATATCAGTTATACAACTATATCGATTGCGAGGCTATTTTTCATTTACTTTATTATAACCAATATTTCGTTAAATTCGGGTTCGCTATATCGAGGTTCGAATGTACTTGCAGTTGTCACTGTATCACAAAAAAGTCTCAAAAGCGCTCACCTGATTGTGCTTAGGGATTTCCGTCTTGCTCGGTTGTGCTGTCACAACTATGTTGCATGAAAGGAAAACAACGGTAACTAAACTGTATTTATCAAGAAACAGAGAATCCAAGTCAACCAGTCCCAGACTTTCCTCATTCTCCCATTCACCAGTGAACACATATTAATAATTTCAACAATAACCAATCGGCTGCTTGCTAACGAACGCTATTTCGTCATAGAGGAGGCACAGCATATCCTAAATCAAGAAAGATACACAACACGTCAGTCACAATTTATAAGAAAAAAAAATGAAATTCGACGCAAATTTTTGCTTCACTCATTTACAAAATTAAAAGCAAACATCTTTTCTGACCCTACAATATTTGAGTTACTGAGATGTTCTATCAGCGCAATGCACATTGTAACAAAAGCACTGTCACAAAGCTTTACACATTTAGTTCTTATATGCGATAAGTACGCCCCCAAAAAACTCAAGTTACCCAAACAACACTGCTATAACTTACATGGAACAACTGCCTCTCATATAGTTGGTTGTGTAGGTATTGGTACGCCCCCAGTAAACATGTTTTCCCAGTCCAATAAATTTCCCCTTAACGAGATTCTACAGTACTTCATTATGCCAAGGTTTGGGTGTTATATGGCCAAAAACAGAATGTTGCGTGGTTTATAAATTCTTTATTCGACTGTTTGACACATCATTGGCTGGCGGTGAAAGGACGAGCACCTTCTGTAGCTGACGATTCATAGTTTGGTTTCACAGGCCACGACCCCCGCCTCCCCTCCCTCCAACACTTGGCCCCTCCCACATTCATATCACAATCAGGGAGGCACTGGGCATCGTCTGCGTAGCAGGCATCGGCGAGACACTGGCAAGCCCCTGGCGAGCTGCAGTAAGATTCCCGCGAGCGTGCACAACCTGAGCGAGCCGTTTGTTCGACACCTCCCCCCATGTGGTCTCCGGGGCTGTTAGCTAAGCTCGAAGCCGGCGCCGGACTCAATGGCGTAGAGTAGCTTCTCACGCAGCTGCGCCTCATCGGCGATCTCAGGGAGCTTGAGCAGGTTCATGCACGTCGATGCCGTGGGGAGCCGCCCGGGTTCCGAGCCGGCCGAGTGGATGCAGAACTGAGGTACTAGGTCCTGGTGCAAGACAAGGTGAATATGAGAGTCGTACAGTTGGGCTCAGACGTATTGAACAAGTCTACATACCGTAAAATGCTAAGCAAGTGCGCCCCCCCCCCCCCCCCGCCCCGAAGGTGAAGGATAATCCGACTAGATGTAGGAAGGAATGGGGGTTCTTGGACTGGTCATTGGCGCTTATTTCAGATGTCCCAAAAAGGGAGGGGGGTGCTTGCTTGGAATTTTACAGTGAATGCCTAACTAAGCATTAGAAGCTTCACTATGACTGAAAAAGAGTGCACGAGTACTTCATTCCATGATAAAAGCATCCCTCAGTAAGAAGGGAGTGAAAAAAGTAAACACGCATGTACGCATGCATAATGAGACAAATTTATCAATGCATAATTCACAGGATTTAAACCTAGGACTTGCACACCTGTATCACAAGAACATCATACAAAAGATGAAAATATTGCCATTTACACATTTTCAGTATGAAACTACAATGCAAAAGAATGATTTAAGTAACCAACTAAACGTAAAATTTTACCATTAATGCTAATGCTTCACTCATAACCTTACAAGCAAGGCCTAAGAAGTGTGCAGCCACTACTATGAGCGAAAGTCTTGCGCATGAAGATTTTCAGTGCGAGTAGGGGTCACATACATACATAGTGAGACACTTCACTTTTAAAAGGGCTTGCGCGAATATGCTATTTCTGTTGCGAAGCGAAGTTGAAGTGAATGCAGGGGTGCAACAACCGAAATAGAGTTGGGAGGAATTTTAAGAGCAGCAAATTGTTACTTTTAGAGCACCAAAAATTCAAATCCGAAGCGTGTTATAGAAAAAAAAAACATCCATTTTTTTTTATCATGAAAGACAAACTTAGGAGCAGCTTAAAAAATAAGTCTTACATTTAAAAATATGTATACAGTTAAACCCCTTTATAACAGGCATGCTCCAGGCAGCAATTTTCGTCTTTTATACAAGATGTCTCCTACAAGCAGGGTACCTCGTATGCATTTTCCTATCCCCGTATTTTACTGCATGCATACTGCTCTCTCTTATATCAGTGTCTCTTATAAAGGGGTTTGACTGTATATATATATACATACATTTATGTGTGTGTGTGTGTGTGTGTGTGTGTGTGTGTGTGTGTGTGTGTGTGTGTGTGTGTGTGTGTGTGTGTGTGTGTGTGTGTGCGTGCGTGTGTGTGTGTGCACGTGCATGCGTGTGTGTGTGCACGTGCATGTATGTGTGTGCACATGTGTACAAACCATTCAAAATCATCTAAATCGTGCAGAGAGGAACATAAGCACTGCTATTTTACTAAATGTAGTATTTTGAACTACCCACTGAGCAAACAATGATTTTAAAGTCCACATTAGCATTTGCCGTGCCTGTCAGATGCTTTGACAGACCCTGCTAACTCATATGTAAATCTGCCAAGCCGGTGACCTTGAAATTTGGATCATTCGTAAAACTGAAAATTAGCATTGGTGAAAAAAATCACAACTAGTACAAAGTTTTTTCGTTACGATAGCAGAAACGTCGTACGCTGCTCTAAATGATTGCCAGAAACTTTTTTAGATGTCAGCGATCATACTAGTGCTCACAATTATGTGTCCTATACATGCCCGAGTAATTGAACAGAATGTGTTGGGTCCCGTAACTAGTAATGCTAACAACCCCCTTCCAAATCTTAAAAGACCTTGCAACACTTCTTGAGCATGGTCAGAAAACGTTGTCGATCGGTAGTAGAGGCTTCCAACAACATGCGAGCCAAATATTATAGCGCAGCATGCGACCTGGAATTCACAATAAATTATCAAGGTCGGCTAAAAATTTCTTTCTCTTCTCTCGAAAAATCATGGAGGACACCCAAAAATCACTCGTAAAAGCCCATCTATCAGCCATTGGCTGATTTGAACATGGCCCGCTCAGTCGTTGCTGAGATCGCCGCGGGAGGTCGCAACTTGTCCAGGCGTGCGCACATGATCACACTGAAAAAGCCGCGCATTCGAAAAAAAAAGTGCTCAAGGTCACGAGGTGCGCGTGACGTTTTTCTTTGCCCCTACCATTCCTCCTTGCTTAGCTTCAAACAAAACCGTCGGGACGAGAGATGAGATAATAGAATCGCAGCATGTGACTAATCTTTGTAACTCCACTTGCACTGGACGGATTCTTCAAATTTTTTTTGGCATTGAATTCGTGAAGCAATAAGTTCATCGAGTGAATTCATTCTATGGTTACTTAAAAAATAATTCAGGGTTCCTTTAATGTGCTTTTCCACAATGCACTAATGTAATGCGGTGAAGGCGGCTTAAGCAGCACTCTGTCGAGGTGGGAACAAGGCCAACAAATTTTTGAACACCGCTACTCTCCCTCCTCCCTCCCCCCCTTTTTTCTTCCCACCGGTGGGGTTAAATTTAAGGCATAACTACTCGGCTTGCTCGCAAGGTGTGTTCGACCAGATAAAGTAACAACGGAACACACTTTGGCCCAGCGGCGGCACAGAGTTGCACATACGTCCGCCATCTTGCGCGCCGAGACGTCCATGTCATGCAGAAAAGCTACCCCTTCTGCCAGCACGGCCAAGATCTCCGGCAGCATCTCGGCGTCTGTACAAGAAACGCCACACGAGCCCAGTGCTACTTTGGTTGCTATTTTTCCATGCGGCGTTGATTCGACAAACATTAAGAAAGAACATAAGTGAACCCGTGAGCCGTGAACGCATAGCGACACTTCGCCAGAGAGAGGAGGATGAGCCGAGACACGAGTGGGGTCGGATGGATCCAAGGAGCTCCTGCACCGAACCGCGTTTTCTGCCACATGTAGCGACTGCCAATTCACTTGTAATTTCGATATAAGATGTTTACTTTTTTAAATCGGACCTCTTTTCAACCTATCATTTCGGATATTGCTGACACCTTCTTAATGTAGGAGCTGACGCAGCTCAGCGGCTCCCTGCGTTTTCTCGCTCGCTCATAACCTGTCACTGGCACAAAGACTTTCACTTGGAAGAAAAAAATGGAGAACTCTAATAAAATATGGTCTTAGATATTACTAGTGCTTCAGCTTGTTCGATGGAAGTCACCATAGGGAGATATTTTTGTTGGAAATAGCAAACAAAAAAGCCTTGACATAATTTGACGAGAATCGTGCACACGATTTACGACAACTTGAGTTCCGTAAATCGCTCGTTTCACGTAGTTTTTCGCCGCTTTAAATTATTAAGCAGATGGCACGATAAAACAATGCTAGAGCTGTACTTTGTGTTTTACAAATAGCACTAAAACGAGAATTTCGAGCCTATCTATACGTGATTGTGGCATACTGTGATCGTGGCAACTACGCAGCACTAAGTCACGGCGCTGCACAGACTCCTCTAACACTGACGTCCACTAAAAACAGACAACACAAGACACAATCGGAACACCAATGAAGTAGTACTGAGCAGGATCTGTTCGCCGTACTGTTCGTACAGCGGTGGGGGTGGCCCCAGTGGCGTGGCGATCGCCTGAACCCGCGTGACCGTAAAGTTGGCTTTCCCTAAAATGGATGCTTTTTGCGCACATGGATGCGCTGGGCGAATGGGGGCGCGAGCGGCGAGTTCTATCAGTGGCGCAACTCTGCTACCTAAAAGTAGCATACAGGGTAACTCTAGCCAGGACCAACGTGGTCGCCGGCCACACCAGCATTCGCAGCACGTCGAGTCTGTTTACACCTAGAAAACCCAGCGTACGCTTCCAGCTTTAGTTAATAACATGCGATTGTTGCATTGGCTGACAAGGAAATTCATACTTCCCACTAAGTGCTGGTGGTTACAGCAACGCCTTTTTTGTCTGGAAGTTGCGTCGTCCCACTGATAGGCATCCACTGCGGTCAGCGAACCGATGACGCAAACTGCAGGTGGCCACTGAGGCCTCTATTACACGCTGAAATTAGTGCAACTGAAAAAACCTTGAGGCTGCTCGGGCATTCTGGTGCAAAGTGGTGCAATTTCAGCATATTTCATGGTTTTGGCACAGCTGTTGCACCCCTAGGAATGGTAATTAGTATAAAATAATTTGAAAACGAACTTGAATATAGTAACAGGATTTGTTAATATTAGGGTGCAAGTTATAAGATACAAGAATATTAGGCATATGCCAATAGTAAATTTTAGGTCTGAAGGAAAATCAATGCGAATGCCTACTTGGTCGAATAATTTTGTTTCGAATAGTGGCTCAGATAGTTTATGTATCTCTTACTACGAGCATGTCTGTCTAACTAACCTGCAGAATACTTTTTAAAATTGCAACAAGACATAAGCAAATGTAATTCTTTTCTGTGCAGTGGAATCAACCTTGAATAGTAGCAGGAGTTGACTTTCAGCAGGATGACCAAGTGTGCTGTCATAACGAAGACTTGTTTTTTTCAAAGCTGTAACCCCCCCGCTTACACGCCTTTGGGCAAAGCAGGGTATTTCTGAATAAAGAATAAAGATGTAACTGATAACTTGTAAAATATGTCATTTTAAAATTCACTGTACTTTGAGCATATACACCTGTATAAAATCTTTGTATAAAACATATACACCTGTATAATTTCTATATAATACCTGTATAAAATCTTTGAGCATATACACCTGTATAAAATCAGTGAAAGCATTTTACAAGTGGTTATGTGCAGTTTATATGTGCCTACACATAATTAGAATAGTACCAAAATTTGAACAATTTAAATTTGTGTCGAAGCGCTAGAATATTGGAACATGCCAAATATACTCTCTCCACAAGCACACAGCTGTTTTACGAATGTGCACATCGTGTGCAACAAAAGGTAGACAGTGTACCACCTTGAAACCCAGTAACGGCGGCCTGGAGCAGCTGGTGACAAACTTGAGAAGGAGGCGTCGCTGGCGTTCGTCGAAGTCCTCCACAACGTGCCAGAAGGCCTTGACGACCGGGTGCATGGGGTTGTAGCCGCCCTCGTAGTGCGTGTGCTCGCGCAGGTCAATGAGGTCGATGGGGCTCTCGGCACCGGACACCAGCACCTGGAGTTCGTGCGGTGCGAACAGGCGCAGCCAGTGGCTGGGCAGTAGCTCCTCCAAGCCCTGCGTATCCGCACCCAATTCACAAGTGTAGTGTCGTGCTTTAGCAACAGATGGCACTGCCCATTCATGTGACAGATGGCGCCACAGTGCTCCGTACATAAGTGGATGTTCGCTTGAATGAAGATTCTTATCAAGATGAAGCCGGCGGTGGTGTAGTGTGCTCACTCTGAACATATGTGATTCCAGGGAAGCTTCCTGCACATGGACAGCGCCTCACTGCAGTCATCACGATTCACCGATTCCTCAGTTACAAGATGCTTCTCCATTTGAGCACAGCTGTTGAGGTGTCCATTTGAGAACATCCCATTGTTTGAGAACATCGCATTGTAACAAGAAGAGTACATTTATACACGCAACCTACTTTTGCCATCCCTGCGCATGAGTGGCAACAAACAGACAACATTGAGTTAATCGTAAATGAAATACTCTTGTTACTTAAGGTTCGAACGGTACATTGCTTGTCGGTAAAAGGGTTTGCTACACACGATCATTTTGAAGAAGGCAGTACTAGGTTTAATGAGATTATCGACATGAGAGAGAGAGAGACGCAACTTTATTAAAAAAAAAATGTCTGGTGAGTTATTTGGAAATCTGGGCAAATATGGGGCCTAAAAGATTTCTAATTATTTTAAAAAATATCTTTTGGCAATGCTTGCTCTCAGCTGGTAAATACTGGACATAACTTAAAGGGGAACTGCAACATTTTTTAGCATGGTTAGAAAACACTGCCCATCGGTAATGATGATTATGTGTGGTGCTTTACAGTGCAAGGGCTAATTGATGGCCAAAGAGCGCCATTTCAGTAGACAAGAGATGTGAACAATGATATGGTACATGGCTGTTTTGGGGCCTCTAAGTTCCTCTAGCTAATGCAGGTAAAAACATAAAAATATTAAAATCATGACAGTGGCATGAAATATGTGCAGTGAGTGTGACTGGTGAAATGTCATGATAATTAATACAACTCTTGTAAACCTAGCATTTTTTTCCTTCTAACTAAACTTTGTGATAGTTTGATGTTCTTTGTGTATTTTAACTGATGTTTTTGGGTGTGTCCACGAAGTTATCTGTCATAACTTTTTGTATGCGCACATGCAGTTTTGTTTGGTGTGACCAGATTGTTTAGGAAGAGAAAGAATTCTCTACTCTGTATATGTGTATATTTACAGTGTCTGTATAGCTACATATGTATTATGTGTAATTGATATTTCCCGCTTCTGTCCATTACATTTCTCATGGACCCTACACTAGCCTCAGGCTATGGGTTCAATCAGTGTTTGTAAACTTCATGTGACAAATGGTAATAAACGTTCAATCAATCAATCAATCAACCATGATGGAGGTGTGACCACTGCAGCCACAACCTCGGTACAGAGGTCGTACTATGGATCACCTCGGAATATGGAGTGAAAACTATGTACAGAGGCGTCCACTTCTACCTTGAACACCGCACCGTGCAATCAGAGTTTGGCGCAGCATCTTTCGCGGGCGCTTGGGGAACTAGCGCGCAAGCACAGTGACAGCTGTAGGTGGGGCCTTCGCCGCGTTGTCTGCTACAGCGAAGCGCCTCCACCGGAGAGTATTGAGGCCCACTCTACGAGAGATTGGCACTTCTTGGGCAAACTGTTCACATATGTGGTGCAAGAATTACTTCAAATAACGACTTCAGTATCAGACCTGTGATGTGCAACTGGAGAACGCGTCATTTACGGTCTGAGCACAGTCACTGTTGCCTGTATAAATGTGTGTGGAAGCGCTTTTCCAGAAACGAACTTTGGCATCCGAGCGTGGCTAGAGGTTAATTATAGGTCCGAGGGGGTTATTAACAACATTGAGTAACAACTTTGTTTAGTTCTGATACGCCACTTCAGTGGCACTCTAGAGGCCGTACCTTTTTTTTTGTAATCTAGCAGTGATGTCAGCATTGTGACGATCACTTATTTTTCACTTGAATCGAAGTCCGTGATGCTGCTGGGAATGGTGCACGAAAGCAGCCGCGAAAACAATAAATGCAGCGCTCAGCAGGCTCCACTCACTCGGCTGGTGACAATCAGCTAACCGCCGCCAGTCTACCAAGTTCTAACTGATAACAAGACCCGGACGTGACTCGTCAAGTTTGAGACTTGCGGTTGCTCATATTCAACCTCTGCCGGTGTGAACGTCAGTTGCTTTTTGGTCGCCAGTCGCAAATGGTCACGCCACCGCAGCTAGTCGCCGGTGTGAGCCAACCTTTAGAAAAAAAATCATGCAAATGCATAGTGCTGTGTTACCACAACAAAGGGCGTATCAATTTTGGCCACTTGGGGTTTTTTTCGACATACAAATGCTTGAACAAAGGGAAGTTGTTCTGACAGAACACTGGCAGCGAAAAAAAAAATCGCAACCTACCTGCAAGCGTGGGTTTTTTCGGTGTCTGTGTTCGTTACGTTTCACTTGCCTGAATATGTTACCGTACCAACTTCAGCAGACTCTTGATAATTCAAACTCAAGGAAACCTCAGGACTTCATTTCAATTATCAGAAGTTCTCATAAATGTGACTCATGTTAATACGCCAACTAGTATTGTGAAGTTTATTGTTTTGCCAACGTTGCAGCAACATCATAGACAGCTCTGTCCGACTACCAGTAAAGTTTTTTTTACTTCAGCAATCGTGCTGGCACTCATTATTATACAATGATGCACGTGAGTGTAAGCAAAGGCTAAAATGTGCTATGTGCTGCTGCAGCGTGTAAAACTTCCCATTCTAAGAATGCTTTCTCGCATGACACCAGCGTATTGCAGCAAAAGTAACTTTAGGAAGCATTTATTTGGTACGTACGCAATAGACGAAGTCCAGGCCACTGCCTCGTTTTCAAAAATTTTCTGTCTGGTAGGCAGGCAATTGTCGATCAGCATGGTTTAGCTAGTTTGGCTATTGTGTAGGCAAGCAACCAGCTTTATTTTCGGCTTTTGGCGACACAAAAAAGCGAATGTTCAGCCAGAGGCAACAACCACCACAGATACCTCCAGGCATGGACAAGGAAAAAGTTTGAATTTGCTGAATTTGTGCAATGAGGCACTTCGAATTAAGCAGTCTTAATATGTATAAACAGCATGGTCAGCGAGCTGAAAATTTCAGGTTTAGGTTAGGTTAGGTTAATTTGGTTTTTATGGCGCAAAAGCAGCTAAGGTTACGCTGCGCCAGACACAAGACTTTCAGGAATGAAAACTGAAAAGATGAGATTTTAAAGCTTATTTAACATATTACATTCTTTCAGAAAGTTTAGCAAGTCAGGCAGAGGTACTAGAGGGTCATCTCCTAGGAACAAAGCAGGGTGTAAAAGTACGTGTTGTTTGTATAGCTTGCTGAAATGTTTTTGTCTCTGTGTTTCAATGGTAGGACATGTGATTAGGATGTGCATAAGTATTAACGCTTCTTGGCATTTTTTCACACGTTGGTTGTTCTTCCTTTGCGAGTAAGAAGTTGTGTGTCAAGTGTGTGTGTCCAATGCGAAGTCGGCGTAATACAACTTCAATAAACCGTTGCTGGTGACGGCAGGTCTTCCATTCCCCGAGTGTGGGTTTCACCAGGTGGAGTTTATTGTTCGTGAGTGTGTCCCATTGCTTTTGCCATTTTGCTAGTAGAGCCAGGCGAATTGTTGTCTGTATAATATAGAACGGAGACAGTCAAAACTGTTATCCGAGACCAGGTAGGAGCGTAGGCCTAGCTATCAAAATCAGCGACAGTCCGGGCCGAGCGTCTCGTGCTTAGCACTGACAATGTGTGTGCCGAGATTTGCATGACCCACTACAATCATCATTACATATTTCCCCCTCGCTGAAGATGGTGCCAAGTAAGTGTTCTAAGGTGTCGTGAGGACAAGTGGTTCGTGATATGGTTTGAGGCGATTCACATGTACGATTTCGCGGCCTCGGCGACGCAGGTCCACAGTGGCCGTGAGGGGTTCGATGAGGTAGTTAACAGCGGAAGTTTGTTCTATGACGTGATAAGGTCCATGGTACCTGCTGACAAACTTTGTAGAGGCACCAGGAGCAGCACTGGGGGGCACCCACAGCCAAACAAGAGAGTTGGGCGAAAATTGGTAGTTGGACCGTCCATCGTCGTGACGAAATTTCTGTAGCCCTTGTTCTTGTGTTGTAAGGGTGCGAGCTAATTGCCGACATTCTTCCGCATACCGCGCGGCTTCGGAAAGTGGTGTGCCTTCGGATGAGTCGGGTCGGTAGGGGAGAATGGTGTCAATTGGAGATGATGGTTCTCGACCATAAAGTAAAAAGAATGGAGAAAAGCCTGTCGTCGCTTGAGGTGCCGTGTTGTAAGCGTACGTTACGTAAGGAAGGATAAGATCCCAGTTGGTGTGGTCGGAGGCGACATACATAGAAAGCATGTCGCCAAGAGTACGGTTGAAACGCTCGGTCAAGCCATTTGTTTGTGGACGATATGCGGTAGTACAACGGTGAATTACATGGCATTCTGCAAGAAGTTCTCGAATAACATCCGCGAGAAAGACGCGGCCTCGGTCGCTCAAAAGTTCACGTGGAGCGCCATGACGCAGAACAAAACGTTGCAGCAGGAAAGACGCAACGTCACGTGCCGTCGCGGCTGGTAGAGCGGCCGTTTCTGCATATCTCGTGAGATGGTCGATCGCTACAATAATCCAGCGATTCCCAGCTGATGTATATGGTAGAGGACCATAAAGGTCTATTCCAACCCGGTCGAATGGTCGCACTGGGCACGGTAACGGCTGCATTGGTGCAGTAGGACGGCTAGGATCGTGCTTGCGGCGTTGGCACTCTGTGCAAGATCGAATGTACTTTTGAACGAATGTGTACATGCCGCGCCAATAAAACTGAAAACGTAGCCTGGCGTAGGTTTTAAACAAACCGGCGTGCGCACACTGCGGATCGGCATGGAAAGCAGCACATATGCTGGCGCGGAGATGCCTGGGTATGACGAGTAGCCATTTGCGACCGTCAAGGTGGTAGTTGCGGCGATAGAGTA